GAGAGTGGCTCTCAGTCTGTAGCATAGTGGCAGGCTATTAAGAACCAGAAGAGATTTTGGAAATGATAGTTGAGATCAAAACAAAACAAAGAAAACACCACCACACTGAGTAAGCAGGTTGAAAGTAAAATGAAATTAACTGAAGAAATGATTATGTGGAAGATCAAGCTAATAAATTCTTCAAGGAAGCCAGGCCTGTTGACACATGCCTGAATTACATAGTGAGAACTTGTTTCAAGAACAAAACAAAACAAAGAAATTCAAGAGTGCAGCACAATATGTAAAATATGAAAAAGATTGGAAATAATATATAGTGAGTGAATTAAAAGTATGAAATTCCTTAGAGAGATAAGAATAGAAAGTATCTAAGGATTATTTTTTGTGGCGCTTCAGGCTGGTCAGAAGCTATAGAATCTTTGTCAGCTATGCTTCCTATAGTAGGTAATATTAATTATAAAGAATTCAGAAAATCAAATAGCCTAGCCAATCAATGAGTAGAAATACTGAATAGAGATTTCGCAAAAGAGGGAGTACAAATGGCCAAGAAGTTTGTGAAAAGGTTTTCAACATCTTTAGCTACTAAGAGAATGCAGATTAAAACTACATTGAAATTCCATCCCAGTCAGAATGGCTATCATCAGGAACACAGAAACAGTAAATTTTCTGGTGATGATGCAGACGAGAATCTAAATTAAATTAGCTACTATAGAAATCAATGTGGAGGGTGTCTCAAGAAACTAAAAATAGAACTACTGTTTGATCCAGCCATACCACTCCTTGTTATATATCTGAAGGAATAAAAGTCAGCATACCATAGAAATACCTGTGCATCCATGTTTATTGTGGTGCAGTGAATAGTAGCAAAGATATGGAACAGCCCATGTGCCCATCAACAGATGAATGATAAAGAAAATATGGTATGTGTACACACGGGAGTATTATTCAGCCATAAAAATCTCCAACATTTTGTGATTTGTAGAAAGATGAATCTAGAGATTATAATGCTAAGAGTAAACTAGACTTAGACAAATATCACATGCTTTCCAGGCAGGCACTTTTGCTGCTGAGCTATATTGCTGGCCCTTCACATGCTTTCCTTAATGTGTGGAATCCTAAAAAGATAAAAGTTGAAGGGAAACAATTATTGGACAAGAGGAAGGGAAGAAAGGGGCGGGAGTATGAGGGTGACTAATAAGGGGCATGAGCACTATCAAAGTGCATTATCTCCTGTACCCCCAAGGGTGAGCCATGAGGAGGACGAGGCCAGGGAATGTTGCGGGTTGGGAAACGACTAAAGTAAGTTACTGTGCATGTACAATGTCTGCGAAGAGGAAAGCCAGCACTTCAGAGGCTAAGGCAGGAATTTGAGGACAATTTGGGCCATATGGTGAGTTCAGGGCTAGCTTGACCTTCACAATGAGACCCTGTCTCAAACAAAACAACTTTGTCTAAGTGAAATCCATTAGTCTGTATGAACGATATGCCCTAATTAAAAAAAGGTGGAAATAAAGAGAAAAAGACAAAGAAGCCAAGACAAGTGTGAAGGTTTCATGCCTGTAATCTTAGCTAATTGGTAAGCTGAGGCAGGAAGCTGGTCAGTTTAGCCAGACTTTGTCTCAAAAGAAAAGTACTGGGGTAGTTACTCATGGTAGAATGCTTGCGGCCTTTCACAAAATCCCATCCAGTACTGCCCCAAACAAACAAAACAAAACAGATTGAAGCTAATAAAGCAGAGATGGAGTTATGTTAAGGATTGTTAGTACCACCCCCACAGTAGAAGACTTGTTAGGAGGACTGAAAGGGACCCCGATACATGCAGTTGTACTAAATCCTGTGCAGTTGGATCATAAAGCCCGAGGAGGCCGGAGCAGTCCATCTGTGGCATTCTTGTGCTCTCTCCTTCTGATGAGGGTCATTTGTCATTCTTCCTGAAGCAACGTGTGTGTGTCATTTCTACTCAATATGTGTTATATTTCTCATTAGATTTTCAGTGAGGGAGGGGAAAGGTGATTGTGTGTTGCAGACATAGAAAAAGATTTTTAATGAGGTATAAAGCCAACCATTTTATTAGTTGTGGGTAAAGAGCTCATGTAATCAATGAAGTTGAAAGTAAAGGTTGGGGATAAATGATAGAAAAACTTCTGAGAAGATGAAATGGAAAGGAATTCAAGAGTGCTTGCAGACACAGGTTTTCGGCAAGAGAAGGGAATGAGGATGCTCTGTGTTTCTCCTGCCCTTGGTAAGTCTTAGCTGCCTAGTTATTTATGGTTGGGGCTTTAGTATGACTGTGATGCCAGAGCAAGATGATAAGAGCTACTGAGAGTATTGAGGGAAAATTTTATGTGATCGGGCTTAGGATCTAGACTGAATAGTAAGTGATGTCAGCCCAGGGAAACTGTTAGACTATGAAAACGGAGGAATGAAGGGACTTGCTAAAATTGAAAAGTAGACAGAGAGTAAATAGTTAAACTTTGTAATGTTAAGAGGTCTAAGAACAGCATGTCGGGTTTGAAGGGTAGTAGGGGCTCAGTGTTGTTCAAGTTGGTCAAAAACAAGGTCATTGAAAAAGACTGAGTTCTGTGAAGTTTAGGTTGTTCGATGGGTCAGACTGTCTCAATGGAGACAGCAATAAAAAATAGGTAGTTAGAATGATGAAAAAAATTATTACTGTTGACGAATGTGGGGCATTACCCTTTAATATTTGATGAATATAGGGTTTTTTTTTGGATTCTGGACTGTTTAATACAATAATTTATCAGGAGTAAATGGATGGAACTCTAGCGTAAGAATAAAGTGACATATCAGGCCAACCCTGAAGCCTGGACCTAGAAAATTACTTGGAAACTGGTTACTATTATTTTTTTTGTATTGTATTGTATTTTACTTTGCTTTATTTTATTTTAGTTTAGTTTGAGGCAGAGTGTTCCTATGCAGTTCAGGCTAGTCTTGAACCTATTACGGAGTCCAGGCTGGCCTTGAACACACAGTAATCCTTCTGCTTCAGCCTCCTGAGTACTGGGATTACAGGTATGCACCACCATGCCCAGCTTTAATTTTTTTTTTTTTTAAATCTCTGCTCCTCTCCTACTGTTTATATCATTATCTTCACTGTATCTCAAGACTAGATCTTTTTGATTCCCTATATGCCTGGGAGATTGTAACTGCTGAGCACTTTTTAGCCTGTAATGTTTAAGAGAACTTAATTGTACTCTACTTGACTCTGAATTCCATTTCCAGATTACCAGAGAGAGAGAATGAATCCATATTGAGTTGAGCTCACTCCTATTCTCATCACCATTGGCTTGAATGGATGTTATCTTGTAATGTCATGTAACACAGTTACATGTTAAGTATTTGCGTTCAGAGTATAGCTCTTAGGCAGTTTTGTGACCAACCATGGCCTTAAATGTCTTTGTTAGCACACCTGAGCGATACAGTAGAATGGAGCTAGCCTAAGTGGAAGAGGAACTTCTGGTAAAAGAGTTTAGGGATGTGGTGAAGATTTAGGAGAGTCAGTAGTTGATATTATGGTGGCAAGAATGAGTAGCCTAATTAACTGACAGATAATTTACTGCAAAACTTTCACTTAGGTACTATTTAGAGCTAGAATTGGAGATTGTTTTAATAGAGTTATCCAATTAATTCTTATGTGATGAACATCTTTTGTCATAATGGAGTTATTTTGATTTGTGTCTTCATTTGTTAAATATCTTCTTTCTTTGGTGTAAATATGATGTGAAATAATGGACTTCTTGTAGTGAATTCTGGTGGTTCTCTTCAGGTTTATAGACATGCAGTGCTTGACTTTACATTTTTTTTCTTTTGCACTGGGGATCGAACTCATGACCTTGTGCTTGGCAGGCAGGCACTTATGCTGCTGAGCTAAATCCCTGGCCAACCCTTTACATTTTTAAGACATTTTCTTTATGTTTTAAACACATGACATTACTGAATTTAAGTATGGCTTACTATTAAGAGCAGAAAGTTGGATCACTGTTGGATGGAAGGACTTAGGGCCTTTTCTAGAAGTGACACGGATGTATGTAGACTGCATATTAAATGTTCTTGTTTTTGTTTTCCACATGGCTTGAGTTGCCACGTCTTGCACCAAAGGCTGTTTGTAACTTATGGGCCATATTTTTTATTCTTTACTTAAATTAGCAGCTAGAATTGTTTTATAGATTTTTTTTTTGAGACTGATGCTAGCCCTCTTTTTGGGTTTGAAAGTAAGTTGAAACTATTATTTTAGTCTTTAACATTTCCAGAAATGTTCTTTGTTTGACATCTAAATACTCCATCTGTTTTTAGTTCTCTGTGATATTTCAAAAGTATGTTTGTTGTGGCATAAAATATTTTATTCTGAGCTAAAGAATTTAGATTAAAACCTCAGTAATGTGTAATACTACTGTCTATGTTGTTGTGTCCAGTGACAGTTGGCTTAGCCACTTTGCCTGCTGTGTACTCTTACATTTACAGCGGTTGGAGACTTTTGGTATGTTTCCTCTTATTCTCCACCAATGACACAACTTTCTCTGCTTCCAACTGGTGAATGTTATAAATGTTGACCTGGGACCAAATTTTGTCACTTACCTCTTGAATAAATAAAATTATTAGGCTTCATTTATTAATCTGTGAAGTAAATATAACACAATCTACTTTCCATAGTTGTTGCAAGGATTAGAGAGTATGTTTGTGAAGTGTAGATACTTGGCTTGGCTCTCAGTAATAGCAGGTAAATTATAATTGCAGTTCTTTATGGTCGCTGAACATTGCCTGTAGAGGGCAAGTAACGGTAGTAGGCTGTGTGTGTACATTGTAAAATAATATTCTGAATTAAAGGTAACTAGTGTACAATCCCATGGAAGTTTCTAAAACTTCTTGGAATAAGCCATTTTTATTTCATGTATTGATTCACTCAGATTTGTGAAAGTAAGCCAGTCTTTTCTTGGTAAATGGATTTGATCCATAATCAAGTGTTTTTCTTTTCCTTGTTTTAAAAGGGTGCTATTTTCTTGGAAGGTGTAACTGTGAAAGGTGTCACTCAAGTAACAACTCAACCAAAATTAGGAGAAATACAGCAGAAGTGTCATCAGTTCTGTGGCTGGGAAGGGTAATAAAGATTTTAAAGTTTTAAGTAAAACTCATTGTTACTCTGTGAAACAAAATTAGTGCAGACGTTGATATAGCTTCTTTGCTTTTTAAAGTTTATATGTTTATATAAATTGCTTAAAAAGTTGTCAGATTTTTTTTAAGATAATCGGTTGAGCAAAATTAAATGACTCAGATAGTTTCCTAAAGCAGTAATTATTGTTGTCATTATCCATTATTTATTTTGTTTTTGATTCTACTAGTGCTGATTATTAACGTGTGGGCTGGTCTTAGCAGTTTATATAAGAGGTAAAACTTGAATTTGCCTTATTTTTCAGCTAAAGTCAGCTTGAAATATAGTCTGCTCCCTACCATGTATTGAAAATACTTCGAAGACATTTCATGGGAGAGGATATAGGAGAGAATTCATTGGTCTGACCAGAAAATTGGCTTTTCAAGACTTGGCTTGGCAAGTCTTGGTCTATTCAGAAAATTATGTAGCTTGAACACAAGGAATCAGGATCAAATTATTTAAAGTTTCTTTATACAAATTCCTAATAAAGAACTTAGCTAGAAAATTATAAATTAGCCAGAAAAAAATTTTAACTAAAAGATGAAAATAATGAAGAGATGATATTGACCATAATGTTGTACCAAACCTTGCCAGTGTATCTTAATGTTATCCTGCATTTCTCCTGTTTTGTTGCTTCTGGGCATATTTGGAACTCAAATTTGCCAGCTTTGCAGAATTGTGTCATGTTGCCAATGTCATGGAAAAGTATGGGGTCTAAAATAGTGTAAGATAATTAAGCCAAGATTTAAACTTTTTCTTGATGTTAAAGATTTGTAAATATACCTGCTTTACTGTAAAGATCATGCATAGTAATGCTTTTAAATTTGGCCAACAATTTAAAGTATAGCTGTGGCAAGTTAGAACTCTGTAAAATTATGTTCTAAAGTGTCAAGACAATGACAATCTTCTGTTGACATTTTTGTGAAAGCTAGTATTACTCCAAGTCGAAATTAATCTCTTTTTAGGGGAACACTGTGAAAAATGCATGACTCACTAGAGCTTGGTTTAAGATGTATGTATTGCTTTCTATGGTTATCAGCCATAATAGTAATAAAATGTTATCTTTTAAGGTCTGGATTTCCTGGAGCACAGCCTGTTTCAATGGACAAGCAAAATATTAAACTTTTAGAACAGAACCCATATAAAGTAAGCTGGAAAGCAGATGGTACTCGGTAAGTGTCTAAAAACAATTTATACAAGTAATCCTAATGCTTGAAGAATATTGCTTGTCTTTAGGAAGAGTTTGCATTGTTGGGCATATGAATTTCTAACATAAACAGTGAAAGAAGCATCTTTCAAAGCATTGCAGTTTTGTATTCTAAGCTATGTATTAAAATTTTTTCTAAGTTTTTGGTTTTAGAGTTTCACAGGAATCTTTTATTAGATGTTAATTATGTTAAATTGGATACATTTTCTGTTAATAATGCAGTTTTTGTTGTTGCTACTGTTTTAATGGTCATTGTACATGTCTAAAGTCACTTTATAATCTAAAACTAGGACAGCCTGCTTGGTAGCCTTCTGTCGCTCAGACAGCAGCCTTCTTTCCCCAGATTCAAACTCACGACTTGTGCTTGCCAGGCAGGTGCTTATGCCACTGAGCTTACTATCTTACATAATATTTAGAGTCTTAATTTGTAAAAAATAAAATTTCTTAACTTAAAAAAAATCTAAAAATGACCAACTCTCCCTGATTTATTCTGTATTGTTTAAATTGTTTTTCTTTTTCTCTTAATTTTTACTAATGCTTTAAAATTTTGTGTGCCATTAAGGTTATTGTATTCTTAGATTCAACTCTCATATCTCTAAGTTTTATTTTTTCCCCTCCAATCATATTCTATTGGTGCGTTTTAGGTATACATAGTGATCACATTCATCATAGAGAATTTGTACCTGTACACGATGTATCTTACTTCTTTTTTTCCCATTCTCTCCTTTTCCTGTGCCTTTGCCCCTGCTCTCCTTTCCATTTATAAAAGCTTGGTTTCCATTTTTCCTTCCTCTCTTTCTCTTACTTTTCCCTTCTTTTCTTTCTTCCTTTCCCCTTTCTTTGTCCCCTCCCCGTTTGAACAGTTGCACTCATACTCTGCTTAGTACTGGGAATTGAACTCACGGCCCTGTGTTTTTCAGGCAGACAGTGTACTCTGAGCTAGATCTCCAGCCCCTCTATTCCTGTTCTTCAGTTTTAAAGTAGTTATTATTTCAACAGCTATTACTGTAGAAGTTCTGTAGAATTTTCATAATAAAGTGTTGTAGAATAGTTGATAGTACAGAACATGTATCTATTTTATAACGTGGGTTTGAGGATGATGTAGGTTATACCTAATTTTTATGAGGTTTTTTAAGTGTCAAAGAAGCACTTACAACCTTTATATCATTCTTTGTCTACATTTAATTCATGACCCTAAAAGATACATTTGGAGTATGGAGACTCAAAGCGAGGCAGATCCATCTTAATTTCAGTATTAGGTGCAGTTCAGTGTTACATGTTTTCTAGTACTTTACTGTATTGAATTTTTTAAAAATCTTTTTTGTATTTTTTTTTGGTACCAGTGATCAAACTCATCACCTTGCGCTTACCAGGCAGGCGCTTATTATGCCACTGAGCTAAATCCCTGACTTTTTTTTGTCTTTTTGAAACAGGATCTTGCTCTGTAGTTCAGGTTGTCCTTGAACTCACTTTGTAGCCTAGGCTGGTGTCGAATGTGTAGCAATTCTCCTGCCTCAGCCTCCTGTGGGCTGGCATTACAGGCCTGTGCCACCATGTCTGGTGATTTTTTTTTTTTACTTGTGGATATACAAAATATTTTTATTTCTGTTTTGGAAACAGTCTTTCACTTTAGCATTTTCTAGTTTTTGTGTGGGGGGGTATATTTCATGGGTAGGATAGGTTAATTTTAAAAAACTCAGAAAATGTAAGCCAAAAGGAAAATAAAAGTGAAGGGTATTTTATGACATACCAACCATTACTAGGGGTAGTATTGACCTTTTTCTTAATAGTTTCTGTTTTTGATGTTAATACCATATTTGGTATATTAATCCAAGAAGTTAAATAGAGTGTTTAACATGTGTTCATTTGTTTGTTATTTTGAATTTGCTTTAAAAAGAACTGACTTTGAAAAATGAATATTAATAAAAGAAAAATTCAAAATCACAGAAATAAAAAAGACCTTGGATTATAGGCATGTAAGAGTTACACAAAGATGAATACCATTACAGGTACAGACCCATAATTTGGATCATTTAACCCTGCTGTCCTCCCGTGCTGTAGTTATGATTTTTGAAGAATCAATGAAAATTAATTTCATTGCTTATTTTTCAGAATATTAAAGTTATAGTTAAATTGTTATTAAGAATTAATACGCATTAAGGATATTGTTGGCACATATTTTAAAAATAGATATGTAACAATGTCCTGTTGCATTTATTATTCACTTTTCTTACTCTAGCCCGTTTGCTGTATTTTTCATTTGTAATGTAATTAGTTTTATTTTTTCTACATATATTCATTCTCATCCTTTGTGGGTATTAATTTTTCATTTTTCTGAGTATGTGAAAAATTGATACGATTCTAAGACAAAACTACACAAAATTGTATACTCTAAAAAATGTTTTCTGTTCCATCTTTTTATTCTGTTCCTATACACTTCTTGTAAGTAACCGGTCTCTTTTAATTTTGTGGTTTATCCTGTTTCTTTTTATGCATATGAACAGATATTTTTATATTTTTCTCTCTTCCTTTTCTTATGGGGCCAATAACTGTGTTAACTTTCCATTACTATAATAAAATACCTTAGATAAATAAATCATAAAGATGAATGGGAGGTTTTGGTTCACTCCATGATTGATCGGCCCTGTTGTTTTGGCCTGTGGTGAGGTAGCACATCATGGCAGGACACTGGGTCTCACCATACAGTTAAGGATGGCCATAGCAAAACTGTTTGCTTTTACCTCGTGGCTAGGAAGCAAAAAGAGAAGAGACCAGGATCCTGTAGTGTCCTCTTCAAGGGCATGCCCTTGGTAATCTAAGAACATCTCTCTTTTTTTTTTTTGTCTTTTTCCTTTTTATGGGTACCGGGGATTGAACTCACAACTGCCTGCTTGCAAGGCAGGCGCTTATGCCGCTGAGCTCAATCTCCAGCCCTGAACGTCTCTCTTAAGTTCTTCCCAAAATCTTTCACATTCAACATCCAGACTTTAGACCAGTGATGGTGAAGCTTTTAGAGAATTCAGTGATTCCAGCAACTTACTGTGGCATGCCTGTCATAGGTTCACTGTCACTGCTATAGATTATAATATCCATTCTCTTTAGAACTAGATAGTAGTCTCACTTTGCTTTTAAAAAAAATTAGCATTGTAGAAATCACTACATGCCACTTTATAGTTATCTTTATATCTCTTTTAAGCTGCATATTGCTTATTGTTTAGATGTACCATAGTTTATGCAGCCATTCTCTATATAGAAACATTTAGATTGTTTTCAGTATTTTGCAGTTACAAATGATGCTGCAATGAATTATCTTGGTTCTTCTCCTCTCTAATATGATTGAAGCTCTAACTGCTTTAGGGTAGATTTTTAGCGTGTCACATTGCTCAAAAACTGAAGTTTTATTAGATACTTCAAAGGGTGGGACCAGCCTGTATTTCCATAGGTGGTGTGTAGGAATGCTGCATCCTGGAGACAAGCCCTATTGCTCTGTTGTCTGAGCACTCACCGGTATCATAAACTCAGTACCATAACACATTAAAGGAGCAAAATTAAAGGAAAGGAAAACACTTTACGTATTTTGTAAGGGAAAAAAAGAAGATAGATAGCCACCCCAATAAAGACCTCTGGCAGAGAGCCCCTGAAAGATGGAGGACCATTCCTTTGGTCCTCCTTTGGCTCCCCGGTATTCTGTTGGTGATGGGGAGGGACCGAGCTGTTTCAGGTATTTGGCGCTGTCTGTGTTCTGCCTGTAGCTTTTTCTGTGGTCTTGTTTTTGGTGCAGTCTCAAGGCCACTTGGTATTTTTCTTTTCTTTTTTTTCCCCCTTTGCTTCATCCTTGAAACTGCTCTAGGGAATTTCTCTAGTAAGGTTTTAACTCCTAGTTAGGATTAGCTAGAAACCTCTTGAGGCTTTTATTTTACTTTTTCCAAGCCTAGGACTTCTTACCCATACAAGAATGCTTATACATTTACAACCTTGCAAGCAGAGTGTGTTGTTAAATTTAAAAGTTTTTACCAGCCTGATAAATGAGAAAGAGTATCTCAATGTACTTGTGATTGAGGTTGAATATCTTATAATATGATAAAGGGCTGTGCTACCTTTTTTTGTTTATTTGTTTTTTGAAACAAGGTCTTGCTGAGCAGTTCAGGCTGGCCTTGAATTTGTAGCAGTTCTCCTGCCTCAGCCTCCTGAGTGCTGGAATTACAGGCTTGTGCCATTGTAGCAAGCTAGAGAATTACTCTTTTTATTCCCCACCAGTACTGGGCATTGAACCCATGGAGTGAAACTTTATCCCCAGCTCTCTCTTTTTTAAAATTTTTTTTGTTTTGAGACTTTTTCACTGAATTGTCTAGCGCAGCTTCAGACTTGTGATCCTCTTACTAGTATTTTTCTGTCCGTGTATTTCTTCAGTTTTTTCCTTTTGGTCTTTAGTATCTCTTATAACAGTAGAAAGTTTTTTGAGATGATAAATAAACAGTTTTGGTAGGATTTGAATAACAAAGAAGTTCTAGTGCGTGTTGTACACCTGCTTCACAAATGCAGTTTGATTTTTTTTCTTTCCATCAAAATGCAGTTTCACTAAAGAGGGAAGAGGCCAGCAATGTTACATGTAATAGTAAATAGTTCAGGAGGGGAAGTGTCTGTTACTTTGGATTGGGTTGCTGTGATTCCATTTCATCTATGCTCTAGGGTAGTGGGAGTACCTTGGACCTGATGATATCTTTTGAGACTTTTCGTTCGTCCCTTGGTTGTTATAGAATTTCTGTCCTAAGCAAGACTTCCACGGTTCCAGAGAAAATACCGTTAGGTGGTAGCAAAAGTACCTTACTTCAGCTGAGAGATGGTTATGCGAGGGTTTTGTACCGCCAGTGTCCACCTGTCTGTCTGTCTCCAGTAAGAGTTTAAGAGCTCTTATTGATTGGTGTATTTATTATACAAATGGAAGCAGACTTTTTCTATCACATA